TGTACACCCAATAAGTGGAGTGTCTTTGTCTTTACCCATCCTGAGGCATTGACCTCCCAGCCCACTTCACATGTTACTAAAGTTGTCTCTTGTTTCTTATTTCATCCTTTCACTCTGATCCTCATACAGATCATTGAGGATCTTGGCCAGGTCCCCAGTATATATTAATTCTCTTGCTACCAAATGTGCATAATTATCAAACAGACTGTTTGATGTCTTTAATAAAGCAAAATCTTGCCCCTTAATAAGATACCAATACTTTATACAAGTAAGGACTATTCCAAAATGAGTTAGCATTGCTGTCAATATCCCCAAACCTCCTAAGTTTTAGAAATCCAATTAAAAGTTAATTTTTAGATAAACTAGAGGTAGAGTCACAGTGTGGGATAATAATTAGTCATTTATTTCATCATCAAAATGTCAACAATATAGAAAATAAGAAAGTGACTTTAAAGCAATAGTCATCTAAGGAAACTCTTGGAAAATACGTAAGTTTGAGGTGCTTCAAAAATTCAAAGATTTCACCCTGTTCATCATTCATACATACAGCTGCTTCCCCCTCCATCCTGTTTATATTTCTGTTCATCAGACATTTTCTGGATTTTTAGTCTAAACTTTGGCAGGGTCTTTGAAGTTTATCTTCACTTTCCCCCTTTGTTGATTATTCAGAAGTGATAAAATAACATGTCACCCAAAATGTCTACCGTGAATGTTCCCCATGTAAATAAAGCACAGGCTTCTCACCTTTAAAATGAAGACCTTTTTTTGGTTTAGAGCAAACTTATCTACTTAAGTTATCCTTTTATTCATCTCAACAAATTCTCCCCAATACCTTCAAATCCAGCATGAATCGCCACATAATAAATAAGTTCCTAAATCGAATTTGTTATTCTTACTTTATCCCATCTATGATAATTGTCGTTTGGAATTCATCTAAATTGTAACCAGATTTCATTAACCAAATTTAATTACACTGGCTCTGTAAATAACTGCAGTGCTTCATTCATTATTTTTCCATATATGCTTGACATATATTATGTATATATACATTACACAAAAGATAGACTTATGATATTGTGTGTAAGGGAGTTACCATGCATTTTGTGTTTTTTTACTGTAATTTTACATAAAATTTATATGTAAATGATTTTCTCCACATTGAGAGAGTAGACATATAAAATCAACAGTCATATTGTGCATTTTTGTTCCCTACAGTTCTCAGCCTATTCATTTGATTTAATTTCCTAAATTATAAAAAGACTTAGAAAAATATCACATTGATTTAATCTCTGCAAAGTTTCTAGAAAAAAATCTTAAAGTAATTATCACACTAAATTAGAAGATACATATTCTTTGGATATATATCCACTAATTATCTAAAATGCCAGGAAAAAGTCACCTTTAAAATGACAGTTTTAAAAGTTATTGTCTTGTGAGGCATTATCTTCTCTTATAGTAATACCAGAAATAAACAGCAAAAAGATTGATGTGCTTTTTTTAAAAAACTGTTTATTGAAACATTAATTTAGATGGATTCTAACTGGCAAAAATCAGTCCAGCTTTCAGTAGTTCTCATGCTAAAAGCAGAGTATTTACTTTGAGCATCTCTTAAATTTTTATAACATATTGTAATAATTTTATCTAACTAAGGAAAGGGTGTTTTGTCAATGAGTTATTTTCTACTTTTGTGATTCCAGAAAAAGCAAAATTAGTGTTGATTGAGGTGAAATGCTAATGCTAATCACCTACTAACAGAACTTAATGCAGTAACTAATTCCATAATCAATGTCGTAGGTTTTAATATTTATGTTAAATATATTTAGTACTTAATCTCCCCCAATATCTCCTCCCTTCAATAAAGGATCTATTTTGTCATACAAGTTTTTCAAAATAAGGGATTTATACTATTATCTTCAATTATGCTTGGGGTTTAAAATTTTTTAAATTAAGCTTATTGTTACATTATATATATATGATAAGGAATCTGTACCCGTAAATGACACATTTTGTTTCCTTTTTTTCTCCTATCTGGTCTCCTCCTTTCAACCCTGCTTCCTCTCTCTGTTTATTTACACAACTTTGTCTCTATTTTATCCATTTTATCATGTTTTTCCTTTCCTCTTCCTTCCTTTCTCCCTTTCCCCACCCTCATACCTTCCCCTTTTGGACAGTTTCTTCTCATTTCACATCTATTGTACATTTTGTCCTTATTTACTCTTCTAGTTTCTCGTAGCAAGGAGATAATACAGTGTTTACACATGTGAGTCCAATTTATTTCACTTAAGCGTATGGTCTCAAATTGTACCTGTTTACCTACAAATGTCTCAAATTTATCCTGCTTTATGGAAGAGTAGTACTCCATTGTATGAAAATTCACATCTTCTTTATCCATTCCTCAGTGGATGGGCATTTGGGTTGTTTCAAAGATTTGGATACTACAAAATTTGCTGCTATAAGAATGAGTGCACAAATAATGTTGTGGTATGATGCTTACAATTCTTCTGAAAAATACCCAGAAGGGGAATACCTGGGTCAAATGGGACCTCTGGTCCTAGGTTTTTAGAAATCTCTATGCTAATTTCCATAGTGGTTGCACCAGTGTACACTCTCATCTACAGTGGAGAAAAGTTTCTTTTCCCTGCACCCCTGCCAGCATTTCTCATTGGTTGATTTCTTGATGACAGCCATTATTTCTGTAGTAAAATGGAGTCTCAGTGTTGTTTTAAAAATTTTTATAGCTCAGACATCCACACTAATAACAGTTCATGTTTATTATGCTTTTAACCACTACAAAATGGTCTGTTATCTTTTTCTATGAAATCTCATCATATAAATAAACAATAATATCTCCCTATGTTTTCTTTTTCATCATGTCAGTTTAAAATCTTTTCATTAGTGCATGAGTATGTTTGCAGTACATAATGTTTACGTTCCTTGTGTGAAATTGGTACATGTATGTATCAGACCTCAATTCCTTGTTTCATTTCCTTTCTCTCCCCTCCTTTCTCCCTTCCTCTGTGTCTTGATCACCTTCCCATTTGAGACATGTCTATCTCTACTTCCTATTATACATCCTTTCTTTTGTTTTTCAATTATAATTTAGACTGTTCATATAAGAGAAACCATGTGATATTTAAGCTTGTATGTGTGATTTATTTTACTTAACATTCTAGTCTTTTTCAAGTGTCATGATCCTATTTCATTTTTTAAATTAAAAATACTATTATTGAAAAATTAATAAAAATATAATTTCTTCTTACATCTTTTTTCATATGTTTCAAATTCTTCCTTAGCCTACCAGACCATAAATACTCAGAATAAGAAGGAAAACATGACCAAAACCAGAAATATATTTCCTTTGCTCTTAAAAAACTTTCTTGGATTTTACTAATCTAACTTCTGACAATATTTCTGTGGTTCCCAGCACGGATTTCTTTGAGCTGTAGACAGTGAATGTAAAGAGGCAAAAGAAAATTTCTACAAAATTCTAATAGAAAACATTTCTTTGCTACTGATATAACTGTGCAGGGCAAACCCTACACCAGATTCCTTCATCAAAGTTTTTGAGTAGGGCTTCATGCATTGTAAACTTTCAACAAATCATTTTTACTAATATCCAATTGTATAAAGTAATTTTAATATTGTTTCTATTTGATAATTTGAAAATGTTCTAGAATTTAAGCCACAAATACATTTATGTACAAATCATTATTTAATAAAAATACTCAAATTATTATTAAATTCAGCATCTTATTATAAAAGATCAGAGTTCTTGGAGAGAAATAATTATTTAAATGAAGAAGGTTTGAAAAAATGGCATCATGGTGTACAGTTTAAATTTAAAATGTAAGTGTTTGTATAATTTACCTTAATTTTTGTATATTATTCACCAATTTCAAATTCTTTCTTGAAATTATTTATGCCCTCCACATTATTTAGACAGGTTTCTGAACTTTCAGTGTACTCCTAACATAACCACACTCCAAATTAGGTGTTTAAAAATACTAGGCTACAAAAGTACCCCAAAGAAAAGCACTTGGAGTAACTACACTGGCCCTGAACTCAGAACCATAGATACATTTTTCATTTAGTTGATTTGTCCATCCACTTATTATGAGGCAATAAAGTATAATTTTTCTCTTATTTATTGTAAAAAGCCTGCATGAATAAAAAGCCAAGCAATTGTTGCAAATGTCAAAATAAATAACACGCATTACATTCTTCCCATCTACTTGATCTGTCATGAAAACTAATTAAGGAAAAAGAGGCTATTTTTTCTCAGTGTCCTAGGCAGCTTGTAAAAACAAAGAAAATCTATTTCTGTTATATTGCATTTCAGATATTCTGAATAGCCGAAACTCAACTTTGAGATAATCAAAAGGGCTGTAGATTTGAAAGTTGAGCAAACATTCAATTTAGTGTCATTCATGATACCCTACACAATATCCATTGTTTGTTTGTTTTGTACTGTGTGAAATAAATGAGGGCCAAGATTCTAATACTTCAAAGACATGAAGCTCATATCTATGATGAATATCATAACCCTTGAACGTAAAGTCTAAATATTAGTGCCAAGATGAATGTACTTATGATAAGGATGGTCAGCATTAAGTTGTCTTCATAAAGCCACATATGGCATTTTCTACAGATGAAACTGAATGTATACATTCATTAAAACAGAACATTATGATACGAAGATATTTACACAGGTTGAATCAGTATTGCCAACAGCACACTCTCTTTAAACTAGCTCATTGACTAGTAAGGCTCATCACAAATCATAAAATACTGGCTAACAATTCAGGGAAACAGTTACTCTAACAAAGAAATGGTTCTCACTATTTACCTAAATTGAATAAAAGTGAGGTAAAGCAAAGCTTGGGAAAAAAATAAAATCGATTAAGCCTTCCATTTGAATAACATTTAACTTAATTCTAAATAGAAAATGTGGTTTTCTAAAACAGAAAGTCTTTATCTAAAATAAAAATAGTTGAACTTACAAAATACAGCAGTGTCTTGTTTAATCACACCAGAATGGAGTAGAATAAACTCTCAGAACTCTTCTTGCATACATTTCCTGGAAAAGAAAATGAAAATAAATAGACTGAAAATTTTAAATTTAAAAACTGAAAACACTGTATTTCTGTAATGGGAAAAATACACAAGTATTTTTAAAACTATGCAATTATATAGGTAGACTTTAAAATATAATTCACAGAAAGTGTTTCTTTATTCATTATTACCAATGTTGAGGTCATGTGAAATATTTTAGATGAACTTCTACATGGTTCTCAAAAACATGCACAGCTCTGTATGTTATGGAATCAACTGGAGTTTTATTTTCTGATAAAGACTTCTGAAAGTATCTCTTCTGATACAAAATAGCAAGGGCTGCTTATGCCACTAATGAGGTGCCGAACTACAAAATACTTGGAAATACTCCCAAAGACAGAGGAAAAGGTAAAGAATCAGACTGGAATACCTGACCTCTGTTAGTCCAGATGTTTCATAAAGAATTTGATGATGTTTTAAAATGAATGAGAGTATATATAACAGTTAAACACTTGAAAGACAAACAACAGAACATTTTTATGAAGCTAATCAATGGCTTCATTTTTGTGTTATATATTCTAAGCAGCATCAAAATGGAATGTTCACAACCTATATATTTCACCACTTCTAATATTTCCATATTTAATACAAAACTGGCCAGGCATCATGGTGCGCTCCTACAATTCTAGCTCAGGAGGATGAGACAGGAGAATTCCCAAGAGTTTAACAATAGCCTGGGATACAGAGCAACTTCAAAGCCAACATTTGGAACTATATGGCCAAATTTTGTCTCAAAAAATAACTAACTAAATAAAATATTTTGATTCTTTTTTCTTTGAAGATACACTCCAACAAATGCATACATAACTACAACATCAAATTGCCCATATTGAGGTAAAAGGTCTAAGAATGGCACTTATCTGTAAAATGATCAGGCCCTGATATCTCCTAATTCATTTTTACTTTGCAGAAACATCACAAAATGCGATTTTAATAAACAGAACTATTAGTAGATGTTATTGATCGTTTTTCCAAAAATAAGTAAAGTAGGATTGTAGTTACAAAAAAATTACACTTTCCATTCAGTACTGTATCTATTTATAAAATCAATGAGTAGAGAGCTAAAACTCAATTGATAATTTGCATAAGAGTTACTTAAAGTAAGTTTCCCTGTAGAAATAACATCCATTTATAAAATAACTGGTGACACTGGAAAGTATACATTTTAACACAAGGGTTTAGAGACGTTAGTTCAAACTATATAGAACGATTTGAAAATCAGATATATTTAAAAACAACAACAAAAAAGTCTCCAGAAGAGAAGTATTATAGCTTACATCCAAATGTTCCTCCAAAGCCTCATGTGCTGATAGGTGGTGTTTTTCAGAGATGGCTGGAGCTAAGATGTGTGTGATAATGGAATTAAAGGTGTGTGATACCAAAATTATGGATGTGGGTAAAGGGAGCTCCACCCTGGGTGTAGATAGCACCAACTAACAGGCTGATAGGCTGAATGAAATAAGGAGAAATGGAAGGCAGGCTTGCTGCTTCCTGCCTATGCTATTAGTGAGTTGCTGAACTACAAAGTACAGGCCTGCGCTACAATGAGATGTTTCTCCTCTGCCCCCTGCCATAACACCCTACCTTGGAGCCAGCTGACTATGGACTGAAACCTCTACAAACTGTGAATTCAAATAAACTTTTCTCTTTAGAGTTGTGTGTGCTGGATATTTTCTCAGCAACAAGAAAGTAACTGAGACAAGAAGGATGCACTAAACAGACGTATGAGCATTTATATGAATTTCAAATGATTTTCAATGTAATTTTAGAAATAGCCCATTATTGTTTTTGCTACATTTACTGTTTTTTAAATAAAGTATGTAATTTCAAATGTCTAAAATGAATAAGACATAGGTAGTAACATAATTCTTAAACAATATTAAGTGAGTAATTTTACAAATTGAAGAAAGGTATCCTTTCTTAGGTCAGAACAGTCCGTTACTGCTATCCATCGTTAACAACAGCTACCTTCATTTTTGTTTAAATTTAACTGAATGAATTATAATTTTCTATTTTTCAAAGGACCTTTTAGTACTTTTAAGGACTATATAATTTAAATGGAACTAAACATCAAAAATGAATACTGACCATGTATTACTGTCAAATATCAATGACTTTATTAGCATGATGAAAACAGATATGCTAATGTTTTAGGCAGACACTCCACTGACATTGATCCAGAGAGATTAAGATGATACATTCTACTGCTTTGTTGTTTTATGTTCCCCACTGGGCCTTTTGAAATCTTGATAAACCTGATGTTTTCCTTCCATTTATGCACATGTCTTCATATCTATTTCTTTTTGTCAACTTTTAGTTTTTACTAGTATGTCTGCAATATATAATGATTATATTCATTGTGGGGAGTTGGCACTTGTACATAACACATCTTAGTTTTTTTGACATCTTCTTTCCCTCCATTTCTTCCCATCTCCCTCCCTCCAGTGGTCCCTTTCCTTTTGCAGAAAATATATCTCCCTATTTCCTATCACTTGTCTTTTATTTGATCATTATTTGTATTTTGAGTTTCTCATATAAGAAAAACCATGCAATATTTAAACATGTGTCTTATTTATTTCACTTAACATTATGTCCTCAAGATGCACTGTTCCTTTTTGTGTAACAGGTCATGAAGACAATAGAAAAAGGAAGGGAAATTGAGAAAAAGGGAAGTAAACATGGTTAGATAAATGACCATATGTCTGAAGGAAAAGGAGAGTTCAAGACTAAACTGTGGTCATCACTATGCCTAAATTTTGTTCCCTTCTTCAGGTGTACCTTCTGTTATCCATCGTTAACAACAGCTACTTTCATTTTTGTTTAAATTTAATTGAATGAATTATAATTTTCTATTACATTACAGATGTCCCCTGAAAAGACCCTAACTGGAATAATCACTCAGAATCTGAGGATATGGCAAGCCAAGATCATATGGTTTCTTACTTAGTAAAAGGACTTTCTAGGGCTACCCATAGACAATTAATTTTGATAAGCTGAAGGAAGACCACTGTTTTCATCCCTTTCTGTGTCCCTGTTCCCCCTGACTCCCTGGCCCCCTCTCTCCTTATGTGCCCCTATGTGCTTCCACTCCTATTATCTAACAATACTGGTAGAGCACAGGTAAAATCATGTACTAGAGAGGCAACCTCCCTTCTTTGCTTGCCTTGACCCTACTAGGCATAGTGGCGCATGCCTGTAGCCCTAGCCACACAAGAGGCACTCCACAGACAGATTCCTCATTCCAAATGGCTGAAATTATCATGCTTGAATTGACTTTTCAGAATTTAAATAAAGAGCACAATCAGGTCCATGGGTCAGTCAGAGCCACAGAAATCTTAAAAATTATCTAAAAGCTTGCCAAGATGTGAAAACCAAAATATATGTAAGGTCAATGTTAGTCCAAACTATGCTAAGTCTCAGAAAGGGCTACCACAAACACTGTTAGAAGGAAAAGAAAGTCTGCATGGGTGACAGAAAGTATAGAGATGACTGAACCAAAAGCTAAAAGGTAAGAGGATGTGGAGTTGACAAAATCCTTAGGATAAAACAGGAAATACTGATTACAGGCACAATGATTTTATTCATCCTAATTCTTGCTATAAGAAATCTCTGTTAATTGATCTATTGAAGTTCTGACTAGTCTTATATTAAAGAGTTACTATAACTGAACCTGGCCAAGTACATCCAAGTATACGCTGGCATTAGGTAAATTGATTTATATATGTTTGTTTGCCTGTTTGTCAAATTGTAATTAGTTACCATATTTATAGGTGTTTTGCCTGAGTTCAATACTTTTTTTTTTCTTTTTATGTTTTTGGACTTTTAAAATACTATAACTTACTTTGGCTAATATATGTCATTTAATGTTAAGGACATGTTTCCACACAGGTTGGCAGTTTATCAAAATGATGTCAAGACTGGTTTTACAAAGACAGTCTATATTTTTTGTCTATGCACAATAATTTGAGTCTTTTGTTGATCAAAAATAACGTGTTAAATAGTATGATCTCATTCCCACAGGTCATCAAAAATTGTTAAAATAGTTAAATGTGGATCTCTTGGGTTTAGAGAGACTATTGAACAAGACCCTTCTTGATGAATAAAGGTGCATCAGCCTTAAACATTTTTCCAGTCCTTGTTCACTAAGGGGACCCTGGTAATTTCCATAGCCCCAATAAATGTTGCTGAATATATTATTTTGATGTTTATATTGGTCATCATTTAAAGTTTGGGTTATCTATAAATAAAATTGAAAGGGAAAAACCATACAAGAAAAATTGTTCTTTTAAAAACTGTCTTGCTCTGTTCCTGCTTTATGGCTCCATAATTACTTTCTTGACCCCTGTAACCATGACAGCATAACTGAACCTGCAGGATGTCTGACTGTAACAAGCTGCATGACCATTAATCTAGCCTTGTAACCAATGATCTCACCCTGCCAGCTAATCAGAACACCTGCCAGGATGTTTGTCTCTCCTTTGTACCTCCTGTTTATGCCGCATATAAAAGCCCTACGCCAGCAGAGATCAGGTCTGATATTTCAGGAAAGTTTCAAATCAATGCCCATTGACATAAAATAAATCTGCCTTCAAATCCTGGACCTTGTTGTGATGTTTCTGTTTGCCATAGAAAAACAATAAGGTTTTCTTGTTTAAAAGATGTTCTTGGTACAAAACTAAATTAAGAGACAAAGTTTTTCATACAGATATAGTGTTTATAATGGATAATTTCACTCTGTACTGAATGTATTCATGCCTTATGGGTATAGAGGCCTTGTAAGATATAAAACCAATATTTTAGTGATAAGATTTTTCTAGATTCAGGTATCTACCTTTCTTTTTTTACCTCAGTTACTTTTAATAAAATATATATATCAAACAGCATGAGGCCACCTGTCAAATAACATTTTTAAAAGCTTCTGTGAGTACATATCATATGTATATCATACACTTAGAAATGTTTAGA